TCAATACTTGTACAGGTCGAATTTTTGCTAAAAGAGCATAAGGAATGAGCAGTCTCATTCTCGCGCTCAACTAACCGCCGCAGTGTTATTGCCCGGTACAACTCAAGTACTGCAGACATGCACTTCGTGCATGTCTGGATATATACGTGCGATTGATGACCAGAGAATTAGTTGATTTATATTTTCAGGGAATGGAACTTTTCTTCAGATGACGGTAGATCAAAAGGCAAATTTCAGGAAGTAGTCTTTCTTTATTAACGACGTTTCGAATGCAACAAACATTCATTTTCAAGTTAGAAGAGGCATTAAATATTGACATTTTGGTGGAAATAAATAGGATACACAGTAAAATTTTGGACCAAAAATTATTCGGAAAACTCAGAGTTCAGACAAATCCTAAACTACGACAAACTACGACATTGGACAGCCGTTTCTCCTACCACAAGAGACAAGCTCACAAGCAGACCAGGTCTCAAAGTATTAAAATCGAGCAGCATCATCTCAAGATCGTCGATGAATTCGATAGGCTCCGTGACACCCTTGGCAACAAAATTAAACCCCGGACTTTACCGAACTACGGCTCCTGCAAAAAAGCGAAAGTTCTCCAAGAGGCCGGTGTATTCTATAAATTTTACTTCAAAGAAGGTTGTAGACTTCTTCACGTTATGGCCCGACAACAACCGACCGACGATAGCTGAACCCCTCATCTCTACAGATTGGACTCCAGCTATCTATCATCTGACTACCGGATTTGTCTGAACTCTGAGTTTTCCGAATAATTTTTGGTCCAAAATTTTACTGTGTATCCTATTTACTTATATTATGTACTTATTTCCACCAAAATGTCAATATTTAATGCCTCTTCTAACTTGAAAATGAATGATTGTTGCATTCGAAACGTCGTTAATAAAGAAAGACTACTTCCTGAAATTTGCCTTTTGATCTACCGTCATCTGAAGAAAAGTTCCATTCCCTGAAAATATAAATCAACTAATTCTCTGGTCATCAATCGCACGTGTATAAACAATTAAATTCTGCCATCTAATACTAATGTCTGGATATATATGGATATATGCACTTGCTAATTGGACAATACTAGATATTCCCTTCTAGCTCAAGCTATAATACTGGACATGGACAACTAACCTGCGTATTAATTGCATTGGCATGCGCCCCAGGAATTAGGTAGTCGAATTTGTCGAACGCGGAATTTGTCCGGAAAAAAATCCTTCACGCCACCGGCGGATCGAATCTTGATGAACTTGGAAGGTTAAATTTTCATCAAGGGATAAACTTGGAGTGTAAAATGAGGATCTTGATGAACTTTGAGGTTTATGTTAGGTTAGGTAAGGTTAGTCAGGTAAGGGTAGGTCAGGTTAGAAAATTCGAATTCAACTCCTTTCTTTATGTTTAGCCCATGTTTAGCCATCACTATAGGCTAAACATAAATAGCCAATTTTTGGCTACCAATATTGTGGGCTCGTGATTTTATATATTTTTCATTAAAACCTGCATGATCTCCTTTAAAACTTGCAAGAAATGCACTGAGAATAAACTCGAGTTGTTCGATCTACACCGCATTCCTGTTTGCTCATCATACTAGTGATGCATAATGGAAGCATTCCTGTCTACGCTTTACATTGATGATGCTTAATGGAAGCATTCCTGTCTGCCCATTACATTTGTAATGCTTAATGGAAGCATTCATGTCTGACCATTACATTTGTAATGCCTAATGGTAATGTTTGCAATTTACATAGGTAATGGTTAATAGAAGCATTCTTGTCTGCTCATTACATTTGCATCCATGAGTTAAATCAAGAGCCTGCCTTTATTCATGTAAGAAAAATGGATTATTGGAGCTTCGAGTATACGATTTGGACCACTTAAAGTTGCGTTTGTCTGTGAATTTATCTAAGCGAATGATTTTAATATTTAACGTCGTGAGGAATTTTAAAACTTTATATATAACACTTTCCTTCTGAAGGCAATTAATTGTTCAAAAAATAGTATTAAAATATTCTCAATAGAATAAAATTAATTAATTTTATTCTATTGACGGCTATACAGTCGATGCCAGGGAATGGTCATCATTACAATGCGTATGGTTATTCTACAATGTAAAGTCACAGTGTGATCTTGTGATTACCGCGGCTAAAGCAACGTGCCAAGCTTCCCTAATGACTGCGATGCTCGCAAGATGAGGGCGATAAAGAAGTGCAATAATTGAGCGATGGCGGCGAATGCTTTATTTCAGCTCCGTCAATCTGTTACTATAATAAGTTGAGAGGATCTCCAGCCTCGTCAGTTGAGGTGATATTATATTATATTATATTATATTATATTATATTATATTATATTATGGTGAAATGTCTACCCCCCTTTTGATATATAAATTTCTTCATTATGAAGACGTTAAATTTCTGCTTTTTAGCGTGCTCTCTGAGCTGTGATAAGTAAATTGGAAAAAAGGAAATTGGATAAGGAAATTGGAAAAAAAATTACAAAGCAATGATGTAAATGACCCATGCATGAATTAAGTGCGGGTGACCATGAACTAATACTTAGGTATAAGGCTAATCTTTGTTTTTATTTATTTTTATAGAAGTTCTTCTTAGAGGCAAATGAACCTATGATTAGGAATAACATCACGAGTCCACCAACGTTTTTTGGAAGAAATATTTCATAGAACTATGAAGCTATTGTATAGTGAATTTAGTACATTGTTCACCAAAAATGGCAGTAGGATTGTGAGATGGACTGTATGAGCAACATTGTCGTAATCGTGATCCCTATATACTGCAGAACCCTCTATCCTGATGACTAGGTGGTATTGAAATGCAACATCTTTTGTAAAAAAATTAATGTGACGTCAAATAGCATATGTGCCCAAGCGTGATTTCATTCACTTTAATTCGTTTAAAAATCTCCTTCTAAGCAAACTCTTACAGCTCCATAAATATCGTTATTTAATTCCAGATGATTTAATCATTAGGTCTCATAAAATATAATTTGATTATTTAATCAATGGATGAATGAATGCAGAGTTTTTTACTTATTGATGCAAATCGGTTCAATGAAGCTCATCTTCAGGTTGCAGTATTGGTTCAAATTGGTGTTTTATTGGTTGATTTCTACATTCCCTGCCATTTTGTAATCAAGAGAATTTTACAATGAAAATACATTGAAAAATATTATCATCTCGAATATCAATGATTATTTTAAGGGAATATGATTAAAACTTGTAATCTCTGTATTCGAAATGTAGCCTCTAGACAGCATGACTCGACATGAAAGTATTTTTACGATGAGTTTTTATCAAGAAATAGTGGAGCAATTTAAGCCCCACCTTGATGTGGAATTTAATATTAACTTAATTAACACGCGCTGGCCCTGAACTCGTGCAACGAATAGCTTCGAGCTTCATATATTCGTGACAGAAATTCTTCAGCGCCATTGTTAAGGTTGGGTTGCTATTGCAAACGTGCTTAGAAGTCTAGCTCCGCAGAGTGATATTTTCTAGTCATTGCTGTACAGCCAATTGTTAGAGTTTAAAAGCGAATTTACATTCAATCCAGCATTCTATGTTCATTGTCAGTGACATTGAACATAGAATGTCTATGTTTTGCAAATATGTTTTTTGCATCATGTATTATTTATAAATTAACAGTTACATTTTGAATAAACAATTTTAAATAATTATTTTCATGGTGAAATTACGAATATTAAACCGATTAGCTCATATTAAATATTATATTAACCGAATATTAAACCGATTAGCTCAGTTATTTTTCATTGAAAAACAACTTATTTCTGATTTACTTCATAAGAGAATCAAATTCACCGACGATGAAATATCTGTTCCTCTGAACGTATCGAGAGCGCTATTAAAAGTTTCTGTTAGCTCGAACTTACGGGAGTGCCTGATTTTCAAGATTAGGTAATAACTTCCGATTTTTATTACTTAGGCGTTCGAATCTATCTAGCTAGAAATCTAATTTAGTTCAAATATTCTGCAATCCAAATTTCACACGACGTTTTGGACTCGCAAATGTAATCAAAAAGAGATATTCAGTTTCATGTGCATGACTCGCAAAAAGTATCGAAGGGGGCTTGAACCAGCGCCAATTAGTGTAAAAATATGAACGAAAAATATATTATATGAAGTTTTCATGCATGGAAAAAGGAATTTTCAGTTGCTTTATATATATATATATATATATATACTCATGTTTTTTTCACAATTTTTCATTGTAATCGAAAACATACTTTACACTAAGGTTGCAATACTCGCATGTCAATACCACCGTTGGAATTACATTTGGACTCGTTCAATATTTGTTCTATGATTGGCTCTAATATTTGCACTCTGCATCTGGAAATCGTGCGCTCCACCAGATCCAATTTAAATTCGCTCAACTATTCATAAGCTAGAGAAAGAATTTTATCGCTATTAGTTCAACGCTTGGCTTAAGTCTACACACGTGTATTGCTGCTACAACAGGATGAAGACTTTGTGTCTGTCACTGTTGGCAACCACAGCCACAATGTCACTACTAGCAACGACTGCAATGGCCGTGATGTTCCAAATGGTCTTGAGAGACGTGACCGTATATGGTCCCAACATTTCCCTAACGACAAACTTGTGTAAGTAATTTGGTTGCTAGGATTCAACGTCATAACAAAGTCATATCTTTATCGTAAATAATCGATTATATTAAATTTAAAACTTGTTTATTTGAATGTCTATTGGCATTACAATGGGATCGTATTCTCCCGATGTCTCGTTTTCTTGTAAAATTATTTATGTTTCGCTTTTAAATCTATCAGATTTGAACTTTCAAATATGATAATTTTATCTTTAATAGGAATGTAATTTCATCTTCGCCGAGTGTATATCTTCGCCGCGCTTAAAACGCTATTAGTTTTCTTCAGCCGCCGCACCTCTCTGACATAGACTAAGGAGCAAAAGTATGAGTAGATAGTCTTCTCAAGAAGCAGCTGATTAAGAGTGAGGAGCCGCCTTTTGCCTGAGCCACTACACTTTGTAATGTCTGTAAATATCTGCCTCTAAATGTCTGTATAATGTCCGTACTTGTAAAATTGAATGTATTAAGTTTATAGTCCTATGTCGTGGTTTCGAGTTTTCCGTGAAATGTAAATATACCTTGTGTCCTTTGAAGATTCGCTGAGCCACTCTGATTAATCCTCGTACGCTAGGGCCCGTAGGCAGAGGAGACCCCGTAACGTCGTGTATGGAGCGTAATTCTCCCGCTACACTATTTCATCCCTTGAATACAAAAAATTTTATCAGCCAATGAGTGATACAAAAAAATCATTTTCCTACTCATTATGTTACCTCTTATCTAATTCTGAACTTGGAAGAAATTTACTGTTCAAGACACGTCAAAATTTAAGTTTTATTTTAATTAATAATAATCTTTAATGATACCAGGTGACTGCAGAATGCACTGCTTCGTACGGCCCAAGTGCAGCGTTGCATCGTACGACATCGCGACGTCGGTGTGCAGCATGACGTACGAACCTACTTCTGAAGTCACGATAACACTTGCTCCCGGTGTCATCAGCCTCTTCAAGTTCGGTGAGACTTTTTCTGCCAATAAATTGTTCAAAGGAGCCTTGTAAGTGGAATTTTAGCATTCATGAAAGCTGAATTTTAATGCATGGACAGTCTTAAATGTAACTTTAAATTAACTTATTGACAATGTACATTTGTAGCCTCTCTTCTGTTATGAGATGTGAAGCGCTGTGTAGCGCGTTAATGTTGTAGTAGTTGTTTAAAATACATGTATGCGCGCTTACTATCACACTGAGGGTTGCCAAATGGGAATTTTTCCGGCCAGGTTTCAAACTTTATTTTTTCCAATATCATTTGCCAGCAAAAAAATTATGATGGCGGTTATATCTAATTGTACTTTACAAAGTACAGAAAAAAGAAGACGAAATTAATTTTTACACTGCAATCAACGGATTACTTGGTAAATATTAAATTGCATGCAAGTTTTTTTTTTTTTGTCGCTGATTTAACCAGTTTTTACCACCAAATGGCCACCTGATCACACTTGTTTCCTGATCACAGTGTTGCAAGAGGTCTTCATCACCAAAAACCTGACCCGTTACGGTACTCTAGACATCCAGAAGAAGATCTGCGACGCCGAACGCGGGGTACCGCTCATCATCAACACCGCGCAGCTGCGTCGACAAGCACAGCAACTCGTTACTGGTATTACTATTAAAGATTTTTTTTCAGTTGTAAAGTTTTTGATCCAATTTCGGTGCATCGAGAAGATTATTTATTACGCATGTCTACGGAGAAGCTTAGAGTCCCACAGTTTGATTGCACAACCTTCACAACCACGCAAAAACGCCCAAAATTCGAGTATGTTAATTTCAATCGCACTACTACTGCACACAGTACTGTCTTAGTCTCTGTATACGTTCATTGAAATTTTTTCCAGAACACGGCCTGCAGAACGGACCATGGGGATGGAACGGACTGTGGGGAATTGGCCGTCGTGCTTGGCTCAGCGCCTACCGAACTCACTACAACGGAACCTACAACTGGCCCGACAACTCCCCTGTGATTGGCAGCGTCTTCACTGCTGGCGACTTCGTTACAGATGTATTGCAGCTCAGCTACAGTTTGGCAGCTCAGCTCGCCGAGGGAGGAAAAATTGTTATGACTCCGACAAATACAATATTCAGCGAAGAGTACCCAGTGTTATGCAAGCGAATTTATTGAAAGCCTGTTATAGTCGGGGGACTCGATGCTTACTTTGGTTTCACCAGCACAGGACTTAACAACTCAAAAACATCCGTTCAGCTTTAATTGGACAGAAATTTGTTGTTGCTATTGATTCAGGATACTACAAATTTTTTGGAACAGTTTAAGCATCTAGATGATTCCCCATGTTCCGATAGTATTCAAAACGCAGTCTGCACCTCCAGAGCCTGTAACCCAGTAGAAATTAATATATATATATATATATATAATAACATTCTAAAATAATTGTGCATGTTATTAATTTGGGGCACAGCGTGAACAATCCTGATAAAAAAGGACAAATTGTGTTTCCAGTTAAAAAAAACTTTAATTTAATTGGCAAGAGTATTCCAAAAGGTGGATAATTTAGCTTAATTCACTACAAAATTCGGCCCTTTGGAGAACCTCGATGCTGAGGTGAACTTCTACGTCCCGCACATAACGGTACCACGACACCTTCCTTTTATTTAAACTTCATTTTGACAATCTTGCCACAAATACAGGCATGGATATCTTAAATAAGTACGAAAAAATTATCTTCAATACAAATATACAATTCGGAAGCAACCCTCCTGGATTAATTACAGGTAATGAAAAAATGCTTTATATCTTTAAATTCGCTTCATTTTTTTATGGCAGTGTTATTACCACTCGTTTTAAACTACAACATTGAGATAATATTAGCACTAGAGTTAAGCACAAATAACCACAATTGGGTTTATTAGCCCAGTAATGCACGTTTTTCTCACGGTAATCAATTATAAAACCTTCTAAAATAAAATAATAAATATTCAAAATTATTATGGTGCATGGTTTAACAGGCCAGCTATTGGCCACGCATGGAACGCTGTAGTTTTTTTTAAGCCGTATCACTTCTTCTAACCGGACTTGGAATTAAAAATATAGAAATCTGTCAGTGATATATCTGTTTACTAATCGAGAACGGGGCTCTAACTATGATTGCCATTGGGAGATTGTTAAGAAAGAAATTGGCACTGATTTTTAAATGTGTTTATAGAAATTATCTGCTCTTTGGACTTTATCTTTTTCGTTTGCAGGTGTAATGATGTGTGTTCATATTGTGAATTCAGTCCCAGCATAGAACACTGACACCTTTAATTCTCGAACGAATTAACTTACTTGATGGCATTTACAATAATGGGCTTATAATTGCATCAACCTCGTATGGAAGGGACCACGGGCTGAAACTTAGGGATTATAAATATTAATGTTGCTTATATCTCAATACACAGAGTATTTAATAATGATTTTTACGAATATATAATTCGTAATGATATAATATAAATTTAAAAGCGAAGAAAACTCCACAAAAATTCAGCATTTCTCTATTGAAAACGTTTCGGAGACCAGCTCCATCGTCAGTTCGATAAAAATAGAACACAAATACAGTCAGAAAATTAATAAGGTTTGGAGTCAAAAGAAAAAAAACAACAGAAGTTAATACCTAAATTTACAGGCAAAGGGCAGAATAATAAAGAAATACCTACGTATCTATTCACATTTCCTAACGGATAAGAACTGTAGGCAGCATTTAAACTAGGCTTCTTTTTAAAAATACACAATGATATCAAAATGCGCAGATCGGAAGCACCAGAACTATAAGCTACAACCTTAAAGTCAGTGTCGGACACCGGAACGTTGCACTGTTCGCCATGAGTGCGCACAGCCGAGTGAGGAGGGCGCAATAGTAACTGTCCAGTCCTATAACTCCTCCCTTTATGCCCAGCGACCCTAGTGTAAAGGTTGCGTGCCGCATCCCAACGTACGCAGATGCACATCGTGCACAACTAAATTTATAAACTTGGTATGATCGCATTATAGGACTGGGCAGTTACTATCGCGCCCTCCTCATCCGGCTGTGCGCACTCATGCGGAACAGTGCAACGTTCCAGTGTCCCACACTGACTTTAAGGTTTTAGCTTATAGTTCTGGTGCTTCCGATCTGCGCATTTTGATATCATTGTATATTTTTAAAAAGAATCCTAGTTTAAATGCTGCCTACAGTTCTTATCCATTAGAAATTGTGAATAGATAGGTATTTCTTTATTATTCTGCCCTTTGCCTGTAAATTTAGGTATTAACTTCTGTTGTTTTTTTTACTTTTGACTCCAAACTTTATTAATTTTCTGACTGTATTTGTGTTCTAGATTTATCGAACTGACGATGGAGCTGGTCTCCGAAACGTTTTCAATAGAGAAATGCTGAATTTTCGTGGATTTTTCTTCGCTTTTAAATTTCTAGTGAATCTGCGATTCAAGCAATCTATTGACGTTATATAATATAATTGTATGATAATATATAAATAATATAATAATATTATATTATATATAATGATATAAAATTCACCTGCTTTAGTTATCGATTTTCAAGTTATCTTTGGTTATTTAATCTTCAGTAGATTACGTCTTCAAGTGGTTTGAATAAAAATTTTCTTTTGTTGTGGATTATTACTGTCAGGTTAGGTCAAGTCTAGCAATTATTTCTTTCAAGCCACAGAAATAAAACGAGTGTAAGACCTGAAAGGTTTGCGAAGCGTGATCTCATACCGAAAACAAAAAAAAATAATTATGCATATATAGATGACGAGAACCTTAAGATATTAATATTTATGTAAATATAATACATAGATATACTTCAGCGATAAGCCCAATTCCCCAAATTAATGTCGTGAATTCTTGAATATATTTATAAAAGGCGATTTGTTCATGAATTCACAATTGCGTAACACTTGAGAGGAAGATGTTGGTCTGTACACAATGCAGATTTAAATTTAATCTAGTGGCAATTAGGTTATTAGACTGAAGGGTTTACTTTATTAATTTAATCAAAATCATCTTTAATTTAAATCCCTCCTGAATTCAGTAAAATTAATTTTGTGGGACAAAACCATGACAGCCTTAGATGTAGTTAATATAATTGATTTTTTAGTCATATTCTATTGTGTCCCACAGAATTTTTCATAGAATTACTTTAAAATAAACATTTTTTGGCGGAAATTTGCATTGATCTTCATCACTTAGTCATTATTACATTGGTCTTCATTACTAAGTTATTATTGGACTGATCTTCATTACTGAGTCTTCAATGCAGCGGTCTTCACAGTTTCATTAACAGTTTTAAGGTGCAGTTTTGTCAGGTGCTGCTGCCAGCTGCAACAATTACTGATTTACTCGTTACACGGTTATTATGAGCTTTGCTATTCTTCCTATAACTTCAATCAGACTGACGGGGAGAATGGGACAGTAGAAAATTTATAATCTATATATTAGACAAGAAGCAATAGATTAATATAGGTTTGACGGGATAGAATATCGACAACAGGCTATTGAGGAGTTGTGAATCGATGGCGCCGGAGAGAAGATGAGTTTTTATGGTGTTGGCTTGTTGTGATCGGCATACCGTATAATAATTGTTTGTTTATATTTGAATATTTATTTATCTCTGTTATTCTGCAATTCTGAAATTTTCTAAGCTCGTCTATTCTTAACGTATTTTTCTCAATTACTAGTTAGACCTAAGAACTGAAAAAATGGTTCTTTGGTGAACGACGCGTCCGTAGTTAGGGAGAATTTTCAATACGAGTTAGTAAGTTAGTGGAAGCCGTTGGTGGAAGTCGCATGTGCACAGTGTAAAGTCTATGAATTTAACGGCGAAAATTAACAACAATAAATAACCAATTAACAAATTAATTAACAACAAATTAACAAATTAACTCCGCAACAAAGTTAGTGTTCTGCCGAACTAGACGATCACATTAATAATTAAGGCTTTTATGAAGTGGTTGCCACGTATAGACTGCGGCGGCGTGAGCGCCACGATATTAATTGGTGCCGTGACCATGATCTGAAGTGACTTATGACAGTGCCAGTAGACCTTCAGTAAACAGTTAAAGAAAGGCAAAAATTAAACCAGTGGTGATAATTATTTAGTGATTATTTATTAGTGTTTGGTGTCTCCACTCTCATGGTTTTCCAGCGTTTATTTTTCCATAAGCTCGTTAAATTTCATCATCATGGCCGAGTCCCTTGACTTACGTCAGACAGCATCTGCGGAAGAAGAAGAGGATTGTATATTAGAGAACTTGAGGCATATTGATAAATTTATGACAGCTGTAAAAACAAGAACAGGCAGTATGTCAACGAAAACTAGAGACGAGCTACTCCGTATTAAAGCAAACTTTGATTTAGCAGTGACGAACTTAGAAGAGCAGCAGAAGGAAGTGAAGAGTGAAGAGAATCGTGCAGCCAAGGGAGCTATCCCGAAGAAGAGGAAATGCAAGAAAACATCAGAAAGCTCACGAAACTCTGACACAGACTCGACCAGCAACCCAACGGACACGATGAGTGAAACTACAAACAGTGAAGATGACACGCCAAGCAAGAAAACTAGAAAAACACAACCGAAGATTAAGCAACGCAGACGGAAAGACACATTCACGCAGTTGATTGAAGCAGCAAGTAAACTCGATATGAGAAAGACGCCAGCATTCTCTAACTTTGACAACCAGATGAGAGACCGACGCAACTTCACTAGACCACCCAGGCAACTTATGCCGTATTCCTATAGGAATACGGCATGTGCTTATTGCGGAAGAATTGGTCATGTGGAAGCTAACAGCAGAAAAAATTACATTTGTGTTTTTCTTGTGGATCACCCGACCATTTCTTTACAATTGCCCGAGGAACTTCAGACGTCAACCACAAAACCAGAAGTTCAACTCTCAACCACAAGCATTCAACCATCAGACAAGAACAGAGTTCAACAGAAATCCTCAACGATACTCCAATCACTCTAGCCATCATTTGAACCCATGGCGTAATCGCTTTGCGTCATTGACAGATGAGCTTCAGGATGTATTCCAGACGCCTTACGTTCAGCATCGACAACAATCAGTTCAATACCGACAGCAACCTGTTCAATACCGACAGCAACCTATTCAATGCCAACCGCGACCTGTTCATCCTTCGCACCAACGACACGTTCACCTTCCGAACCAGCAACCTGACAACATCAACCACAGCAATCATCTCAACAGCAATCCCTACGATCTGAAAAGCAGCTAGACGTCCTAGGTGATTTAGCAACTGCATCTGACAGGATTGAGGTGAGCACCTCTCAGATTGAACAAGTAGACAAGCATTTAATCAAAAGCGTTCCGAGTGTAAATTTAT